TGCTTCCCCTTATTTACTGAGGGTTTTTTGTTTTTTCCTTCAAGTTTTCTACAGCTTTTTATGTCTAAGTAATTAAGTAGTTGCAAGTGCCCACTTTGGTTTCTTGCTGATGGACTTAGAAACAAATTAAATAGTCTTTTCACTATGAGATTGTTCTTGCTATATAGCCCAGGATAATCACTTTATTTACACCATGAAGTGTAAATACCCAATGAAATAATCACACACACACACACACACGTATGTACTCTTTATGCTTTTGCAGGTTGGTGTCAACAGTTTCTGTAGCTGTCTCCTCACCTTTGCTCATGGTACATTGACCGTGTTCTTCCTCTAGGTCATCACGCCCTGTAGGAAGCTCATCTTATGTGCCGATAGCAGGAAAGAAATGGAAGATTGGATTGCAGCACTCAAGACTGTCCAGAACAGGGAGCATTTTGAGGTTAAGAGAAAAACATCCTTCCACCTGTGCCTATTGTTGTTGTCTGTTGTTGGCAAATGCCTCTGCCACCTGTTGTTGCTTCCCTCCTGCCTTAACGACCTGCCGTCCTGCGCCTCCCACACATGGATGGCAGTTGAGAGCGTTGCTGGCAGTTGTGTCCCTGTTAACACGCCCTCATCCTTCCACAGACCCTGCCTTCGCCCTCCTCCTCTGCTGGGTACTTCCTGTAGTTCGGTGCAAGCCGCCACATGTAAGGGTGTCAGAGGGCCTCTTACCTCTGCCATCTTTCTTTCATTCTTCCAGCCTACCCAGTACAGCATGGACCATTTCTCAGGGATGCACAACTGGTACGCCTGTTCTCACGCACGGCCAACCTACTGCAACGTGTGTCGTGAAGCTCTGTCTGGGGTCACGTCGCATGGGCTGTCCTGTGAAGGTAGGGGGCTGCTTGATTATTCTGCTTCCCAAAATGGCCCGAGGTAGTCCTTGATAAAGCCCAGAAGTCTGGATGCTTTGGCCAGTCCAGGGTAAAGTGATTTCCACTACTCCATTCCTCTCTGCGTCACCTGCAGAGCAGTTCTTCACGACAGTTGTCACAGTGCTCCCACAGGAACAGAGGAACGTGGTTGTGGAAGAATCTGGGCCTCTGGCATTGGTCTGCATCCTGTGTCATGAGCAGGATAGAAAGTGTCTCATAGGACACAAGAGTTATGCAGGGTGCTGCGCTGAACACTGAACAGGGTGTGCGAGCAGCAGCGTGCCTTGGTCCTTCCTGTGGCAATGATTGAAAATACTCAAGCATTTTGTGGCACGTAGGAGCTGTGCGGACTTAGATTTCAGTGTCGTCTGTGGCTTCCTGGACAGAGCCAAGTATTGTGGCAGTGGTGTGTGCGTGAAGCAGTGAGTCTAGCTGCTCACTCCTGGCTCTCCGCCATCTGGTCTGCGTGCATGCTCTGCTACCGACCACACAGAGGAGCTCCACCTTCCTTCTCCTTCTTCCGAAGCAGCTGCCTTCTCTGAAGCTCACGAATTCATGTGTTTCTTTTCTCACAGTGTGCAAATTTAAGGCCCACAAGCGGTGTGCTGTGCGTGCAACCAATAACTGCAAGTGGACCACGCTGGCCTCCATCGGGAAGGACATCATCGAGGACGAGGACGGGGTACACCAGGGGAGACATAGCTGAGGCACAGACTTGCACAGTCCCTTCTTGCTCTGTGTGCTGCCCGTGCATCTCATTTGAGAGGGTCGCACTGGGACGGGGTGTTCAATAGTGGTCACTGCCCCTCTCGGCACTGTCCTTCGCCCAGGAGTCTCGTTGCCCCGCCCATTGGTGCTGTGGTGTGGATGGGTTCTCCCCATGCTGGCCGTCAGGGAGAGGCCTTGGCTGAGCTTGCAAAGACCACTGTGCCCTTGGGCTCCTCACTGACTTTAGGTCAGAGCTCTGGATGCCCCTAGCATGTTTCTGCTTGGTCTGCAGATCTCCATGCCCCACCAGTGGCTGGAAGGAAACCTGCCCGTGAGCGCCAAGTGCACGGTGTGTGACAAGACCTGTGGCAGTGTGCTGCGCCTGCAGGACTGGCGCTGCCTCTGGTGCAAGGCCATGGTGAGTAGGTTCTGTCCGGCTGCCCTGCCCTGTGCTGGGGCAAGGCCATGGGGGTGGACCTGCCCTGCCCTGCCCTGTGCTGGTGAAGGCCGTGGGGGGGACCTGGCCTGACTGCCGCCCTGTCCTGCCCTGTGCTGGTGAAGGCCGTGGGGGTGGACCTGGCCTGTCTGCCCTGCTCTGCCCTGCTCTGCCCTGTGCTGGTGCAAGGCCATGTAGGTGGTCCTGCCCTGCCCTGCCCTGCCCTGCCCTGTGCTGGTGAAGGCCGTGGGGGTGGACCTGGCCTGGCTGCCGCCCTGCCCTGCCCTGCCCTGTGCTGGTGAAGGCCGTGGGGGTGGACCTGGCCTGGCTGCCGCCCTGCCCTGCCCTGCCCTGTGCTGGTGAAGGCGTTGGGGTGGACCTGGCCTGGCTGCCGCCCTGCCCTGCCCTGCCCTCGTGTGTAGAGGCTCATGGGTGACTGGCCATCCCAGTTCACCTCAGAGGCCCCTCGCTCTGAGGGTCTGGGATTGGGGCTGCCCAGTTACTTGTCTTTGTTCATGTCTGATCATACTTATTTCCACTAAGTTATTAGGGTTGCTTTCTTTTGACTTCCCAACACAAAGCGTCCCGGCTGCCTCAGAGTGTATCTCAGACAGTTGATGAGGGCTTTCCGAGTGCGGGCGGGTCTTTGAGAGGCTTTTCCCTGGGCTGCCATGACCGTGCCGGCCAGCCTCGTCAGACCATCGCCCTGCGGGAGCCTATTGGTAGCAGTGGCGCTGGTCAGCACATGAGGGCCTGGATTTGACTCACTGCAGGTAGCTGTAGTGCAGCGGCCCGGGGCTGGGGCTGGGGCTGGACTGTGACGGGCCCCCTGAGTGTGTGTTCAGGTGCGAGTCCAAAGTGCAGGGTGCTGAGGAGGCAACCCTGTCTCTCCCATGGTGCTCACCAGCCGGGGCATCGGGGTGGTGAAGAAGTGGCTTTCCCCTCCTCCCTCCCCTCTGTGACACGTGGGTTCTTGTTCCAGGTTCACACGGCGTGCAAAGAGTCCTTGCTGACCAAGTGCCCGCTTGGCCTGTGCAAAGTGTCGGTCATCCCGCCCACAGCGCTCAACAGCATCGACTCTGATGGTGGGTGCCCCGCACTGCCGCTGCCCGTGCCGCGTGCCTTCTCACCGCCCCACGCTGCCAGCTCTGGAGACAGGAGGATGTGGTCAGCCAGAGGCTGACCCGTGCATGGGGCTGGGCGGAGGGAGGTAACTGGTGTAGTAGGTTTTGCTGTTGGGGTCACCGCTTGTGTATCACATCTGCCTGGAAAACGAATTGCATGGCTCCTCCGTGGAAGTATAGGGTCAGAGGCTATCTCATTTCCTTGAGCTGGCCTGTCCCTGTCCCTGCCAGCGTGCTCGCTCACTTGTTAGGCTGGCAATGTGACACAGACACGAGTTCTGCTGAAAGTCAGGGTCCCTGGGGCGGGTGGCTTGCAGGAAAAGGTGACAGCAGCACAGTGAGGTGAAACTTGGAGCCCCTGGAGATGCTCTGTCTGCGGGGCTCACATCATACCTCGAGTGGCCTCATGCAAGCAAGTGCCTCCAGCCACTCCTGTGTGCATGTGTGTGTCCGCCCGTGTGAGCTGCGGCCCCGCTTCGCGTCCACTCGGTACCCGCCTCCGGAGTGCTTACACAGCTGCTCTCACTCACACACAGGGTTCTGGAAGGCCACCTGTCCCCCATCTTGCACAAGTCCACTGTTGGTCTTTGTCAATTCCAAAAGTGGGGACAACCAAGGAGTGAAGTTTCTCAGAAGATTCAAGCAGCTGCTGAACCCTGCACAGGTCTTTGACCTCATGAATGGAGGCCCACACCTCGGGTAGGAAGCTTGTGAAAAGCCTTTCTTACAGGTTGTCTTTTATGGTTCTGGTGGTGGTTGTGCTGGGGTTTGAACTTCTGTGGTCTCCAGCTATGCCCCCAGACCATTCCTTACAGAGTTGGAATTTTTAGTGTTTCATAGACTAAGGCATATGCATTTTAGAAAGCTCAAAGACACAGACATTGTTTAGTGGGAAAGAAATTGTCTTCCTTGAAGTGCCTCTCTCCTAATTCTACTTGCAGAGGAACCTGCTCTTAATAGTTGCTAGAGATGTGTGTCCTTCTGTCTTCTACTACAGGTGTACACATGCACACACGTGGCACATTTGTGCCCGCATGCACATCCCACAAACCTCCAATGACAACTGGTAACAGCTGGGGGTCCGCTTTGTGCCGCGTGCTGCCCGTGTGTGCCAGCCGCAGCCCAAGAGTGTTTCCATGTCACCTGCCTTGCTCTCTACCGCTGGCTTGGTTCCAGGAAGGAGCTTCTCTCTAGTGGGGCTACGGGTGGGGCGGGGGGGAAAGGGGGGACGCTTCTGTTTGAGGCACCCACACCCGGGGCTTTTCATGTGGGAGTTGGGGAGCCATGGTGAGTTTCCACTGCTTTGTCCTTTCTACAGGTTTGTAGGGAACGTTTGCTTTTGTGGGGTTGCATTCTGTACTAATTTCTTTATTTGGGAGCACCAGTTCAGGTTGGACTGAGTGGACGGCCTAGCGTTGTAGGGTGGTGTGGACAGTGCTTGTAGCCCCAGCTACCTCTGGGGGGGAAATCAAGGAGGAGAGAGTTGTTTTGGGAGCAGGTGCTGCTGGCACACAGCCTGGGCTGGCCGGTATTTTTGGCTGGTACATGTGACATGTGTGCACTGACTCGTCAGCTGATACTTCCCAGTCATTCCTGGGCTGATGGCAAGCAGTCACAAATGGTGCTCATGGCCTGATTGCTGTGATACACTTCTTCTCTGGATGACACAGGATGCTCGTCACTCGGAGGTTGATGAAATGGTTTCACTCCAGAAGTGGAGGTGTTCCACACTTGGCCTCAGGGAGGCTGCTAAATTGGCCTCCTGGGATGCTGGGCAGACGTTTTGCAGTGGCTTTGGGCAGGCAGACAGTACACTAGCACTTGGGTGAAAAGCTAGTGCTCAGTCCGGCATGCGTGCAAGTGGACTTCAGTGGAAGGAAGTCTCATGGAAATGGCACTGCCTGTGTCTGTGAACATTGATCTTAGCCAGTTCCTGACAAGACCTAGACCTACTACTTCCTCTTCCTGAGTTTGCCTTCACCTTCCCATGCTTCTAGAGAGCGGGCCAGAATTCAAAGGATGCGTAGAGCTGGTTCTCTTGTCATTGAAAGCCAGGTGCAGCCTGCTGCTCAGAACTTGCATTGAGCCTGAGTTATTGGCTTGTTGCCCATCCCAGCCTGTTTGAGTGCTTACGCTTGGGCTGACCACTAGAGGTGGGGTCTGCAAGGCCCCAGGTGGCACATGTATAGTCCGGAGGTCCCGTGGCAGGCCACTTGCCACTTCAGTGGGATGATGCGTAGATTCTTTGGGATCCTAGGTCAAGCTGCTGTCCCTGTGTCTGGCTGTGCCAGCCTTTACGTTCAGCTTGTGGTCACTGTGTACTCTTGCCTCTGTCTTCCCAATACCTGATGCCAGGCAGGGCCCTGCCTGGCCTGAGGGAGTGGTGTACAGATGCAGAGGAAGATCTCGGTGCTAGCTGCAGTTTGACCCTTTCCTGTGGCAAGAGGCAAGCTCTTAAAGCAAGGCGCTGGGTGGCATGGTGTCTTAGAAAGGTCTGGGGGCACAGGCAGGAGGCTCCACGACTCTGGTGGTCATGGTGGAGGCCGGGCCCTGCCGGGTGTAGTGGGAACAGAAGCTAGAATGTGGGTGCTGGCCTGTCGGCTAGGCCATTCCCTGAAGGACACATCCTTCTGAAGACACTGCGGGACACCAGGGTGGTCATCCTGGTGGGGATGCAAGCGTGAGCTTTGGGAGGGGCCTGGACTGTTGATTCAGGGTCCTCGGGTGAAGCCTGTGCGTGGTTGTGAAGAAGAGGTCAGGGACATGCAGAAGGCAGCTGTGGAGGAGGGCTGTGGAGAAGACAGCTGTAGTGTCCCAATAGGGACCCCACATGGAAGGGAAGGGAGACCAGCAGGGAGCCACGGGGAGAGGAGGGCTTGGAGCCTGAAGCCGTGAGAAGGGACAGGCATCCGATGGACACCTGAAACTGGGTCCTGTGAATGCTGGGCCGAGACTGATTGCAGGCTGAGGTGGTGCCCAGGTGCGGGGTAGGAGGCAGCTGAAGGCATAAGGGGAGGGTTGTCTGGGCAGCGTGTGGGCGGGGCCCCTGGCTCCTGCCTTTGGCTTGGGCTGTGGCAGGCTGTAGGCGGTGTGGTGGTGGTGCACTGTAGGTGTCAGCGTCTCCTCAGGGCTCTGAGGTGCATCAGTGTCCCACTGCCGCCGTCCTCGCAGACCCTGCCCCAGCTAGAAGGCCTGGCTAGGACCCAGTGCCACTGCTGTCCACACTGACAGGTTCCTGAGTGGAGGGCTATGGGGACAGCTCTCGTGGCCTGGCAGAGCGCCTAGAGGAACAGGCCTCTTCCCTGAGCCCAGGACTGATGGACCCATTCTTTTTCCTGTAGAAGCAGGAAAGGTTCATTGACTTTCTCTTTTCTCTGCAGCTTACGGTTATTCCAGAAATTTGACACTTTCCGGATTCTGGTTTGTGGTGGGGATGGCAGTGTCGGCTGGGTCCTCTCGGAAATCGATAGCCTCAACCTTCACAAACAGGTACTTGGAGGAGCAGTCCTGCCGAGGTCAGAGGTCAGGGGGGCGGGGGCGGGGGGGCTGAGCTCTGAGCCATTTCAGAGCATCTGCTCCTAGTAGGCACCAGCACAGGGTTCTGCAGCAGGCAGGAGCCCCACGGTGCTGGAGCCTGGGCTCTGCCTTGATAGACAGGCGGGAAATTCAGTGAGCTAGAGGGCAGGGCTGGGGCCAGTGCCCCCCTGTGCCCTGCTCTCAGTGAGAGGTGATGGGACTTCTGGTTCAAAGCCTCTGCCTTGGGGAGGGGGGGGGGATAAGGTCAGTGGCTAGGGTTCATTCAGTCTTGATTTTGTCATTAAAAATGGGTTTCCTAGTTGTTTACTAAGAAAATGCTTATCACAGCCATGGAATTTTCACTTCATCTGCTTTCCTAACTATCTCTCATACTGTGTGTAATGGGACCCATAATGCTGTCGTGTGTGTGTGTGTGTGTGTGTGTGTGCGCGCGCGCATGTGTGTGTGTGTGCGTGTGTGCGCGCACGTGTGTGTGTGTGTGTGTGCGCGCACGTGTGTGTGTGCGCGTGCATGTGTGTGTGTGTGCGTGTGTGCGCGCGCACGTGTGTGTGTGTGCGTGTGCGCGCGCGCATGCATGCACACATGCATGCTGCTACCAGGGGATTTGGACTCAGAGCCTGAGCAATCTCTCTGAGCTTTTCTTTTGCTCAAGGCTAGCTCTGCCACTTGAGCCACAGCTCCACTTCTGGCTTTCTGATGGTTAATTGGAAATAAAGGTCTCACCAACTTTTCTGCCCAGGCTGGCTTTGAACCATGATCTCGGATCTTAGCCTTGTGGGTAGCTGGGATTACTGGTGCCTGGCCCATAATGCACGCTTAAATGGACTCTTGCTGCCTTAAATGGACTCTGCTCCCATGCCCCAAGTTTGTTGGTATGCTTTTGAAATCAGTAGTGTGCTGGGCCTTTCTCACTGTACTCAGCCAGCACCTCTGTGGGACAGTTTACCCTGGACGGAGCTGGGTGTCTGGGTCAGCCCACACTGTGCGTGCCGCTGAGGTCACCGAGGCGCCAGCCCTGTGGAGGCTGCGCCCTGTCCTTCCAGGACCCCCAGATTGAGCCCAGCTGTCCTTCTTAGGGACACACACTCCTCACCAGATCACCACTGTACCACTGTGATGTAAGACCGGGTTCTACCCAACTGTGTAAACAACAAGTCTTCTCTTTTATTTATTTAATTTCTGGTGAAGTTAAAAATGCAATTTACCATGCAGTGATGCGCATCACCTGTTCTAGCTCCCCCCACCCCCCGCATTTTCTATTTTTATAAATTGGTATCTGGTAAGAATGTTTTCCAGATTGTCCTTCTGTCATCAACATACTTTGAAATAAAAAAATCTTTTTCTTTGTTTTTGCTGTTCCGGCCACAATGTGATATATCTATACCAAGATTAAGAAACTATTAACCCATATTGTCTCACACTCCCAATTGTGGTCTTTTTTTTTTTTTTTGGTCCGGTCGTGGGGCCTGATCTGGGCCTGGGTGCTGTCCCTCAGCTCTTCAGCTCAAGGCTAGTGCTCTACCACTTGAGCCACAGCGCCACTTCCGGCTTTTTTCCTTTTGCTTATGTGGTGCTGAGGTATCGAACCCAGGACCTCATGCATGCAAGGCAAGCGCTCTACCACTGAGCCACCTTCACCACTGAGCCACCTTCCCAGCCCCCAATTGTGGTCTTTAAAACATTTTAGTCTCCCTGTGGCTGGAGTAGATTGTTCAGCGACTGCGCTCTGCGTGCTCTGAGACCTGCGCAGCCCCCTTAGTCCTGTCAGATGTTTAACTGGGGTGAGGGTGGCCTTGGAGGCGAAAGTCCGCCAGAGTCCGAACACACCCAGGCCCTGCAAGTTGCTCAGGAAAGAGAAATAGCTCCTCCTAGTGGTGTACCTAGAGCAGTTCACTTAGCTTTGTGACAGAGTCACAGTTGCTATGACAATGAAACCTTATGGTTGATCTTCCTCTACTGCACCTAGTTCCACAGGCATTTGTCTCCTCTGATTTCCCTGGCCCATGGTGCTCTGGTCCCTCTTTCTCATTCCTGGCTCCCATACCCTGTAGCATTTCTCTTCCCAGCTCCTGCTTTGTGTTGTGTGATCAGAGCCTCATTCTCCACGCCCACCTCAGGGAGGCACGGTGGCTGGACAGGCCTGCTGCTGTGCTCATTCTGGGGACACCTTCTGCTGCAGTGTCCTGCTGCAGTCCTAAGCCATCACACAGCCCCATGATGCCAGCATGCTTTTCCTTGGACTGTGAAGATGGGTCCTGTCCATCAGGGTCTGAGCAGAAACCTGACAGCCGGTTCTGCTCCCCCCGCTAGCCGTGTGGCAACTGTGTGTGTGCAGTTCTCCCCAGTGGCCCCCAGCCCTAAGTTTCCTCTTTGGTTTGGGCCATCTGTGTGTTCTGGCCTCTGTCCATGGCTTGCCCATGGCCATACTTTTTGGGACAGTTGTGCCCTGTGCCCCTCGCTAGGCTCTGTGCTGACAGCAGAGTCTACCAGACCCTGCATTTGCTTCCTATCTCATCTCTGTTTCTGCCTTCCTCTTCCTCAGGGCTGACATTTCCCCCTTGCCACCTTGCACACCAGCTTTACTGTCTTGCTCTCCTGTGAGGCACTAGGAAGCCCCACTGCACTCCTCTTGAGTGCTCTTCTGTGCCAGCTCTCCTCTGTGTCCTCTGTGTCTCTGCTGTCCCTCTTGCATTGCCAGGCTGTGCCCTCGGCACATGCTTCTGTCCCCGCAGGTCATGTCCTCTGCGCATGGCCCTAGGGAGGGAGAGTAGGGTGTAGACCTGGCCTTAGAACCTGGGCCAGGCTGCCTTTCAGTCCCTGGTGACTCTGGCTAGCCACTCTGTCATCAGAGTGAACAGCAAGAAAGCTCGAGGCAGCCAGTATTTGGGGGGCACTCTAAGCAGTGATCTGGCATGGGGGGCTTTGATGTGCACTCTGGATGGGCATGATAGGTACCGAGTGTAAGACTGGGGGACGCAGCTAGGTGTGTCAGGCTGGCCTGGGGCATCCACATTGAGAGCTGTTGGCATCAGGATGTTTTTAGAGGAACTGAAGGTAAAGTTGGCATTAGTGAGTAAGGTGCCATAGTGGATGGAGAGACGTGTGGGGAGACGCAGGCATGGTGGGTGGGGGTGTGTGGGGAGACGCAGGCATGGTGGATGGAGAGACGTGTGGGGAGACTCAGGCATGGTGGGTGGGGGTGGATGGGGAGACGCAGGCATGGTGGATGGGGTGGGTGGGGAGACGCAGGCATGGTGGGTGGGAAGTTACAGGCTGACTTCAGGTGTGATCACAGCAGTGCTTGTTGGGAAGGTTCTAGGAACCAAAGGACTTGCGGATTATGTGTGAAGGTGTGTGAAAGGCAGAGTGCAGTCAGTGGAGAGGGAGCGCAGTGACCCTGGTGTCTGCTGTTGGTGACAGGGACCATCTCTTCCCCTGCTGGGCTCTGTGGCGAAGGTGCGGGCAGGCCACACACTTATTTCATGTGGCCACTGCTGAGGGCGGCAGGGAGGCTCCCGGAGCCCGAGCGAGGGTGTTCTCTGCTTTTTCCTCAGTGTCAGCTGGGCGTGCTGCCCCTGGGGACGGGGAATGACCTGGCCCGTGTGCTGGGCTGGGGCTCGGCCTGCGATGATGACACCCAGCTCCCCCAGATCCTGGCAAAGCTGGAGAGGGCCAGCACGAAGATGCTGGACAGGTGAGTCGGCAGCCAGGGCTGTGTGAGCAGGAATCTGTTGTGAGCCTCTGATTTGTTTGTAAACATCTGACCTGAATGTATAGTCCTTCCCTGATAAGCGTCTGAGCTTGGTCAGATGATGAAGGGGATAAAAGCAAACAGCATAGAAGCATGCTGGGAACAGTTGTACCTGCATTCCTCGGGGCTCGCAGAGAGGCCTGTAGTCTTTGGCTGCTTGGGCGCAGGGCCTCATGACTGTGCAGAATGCTCCCCAATGCACACGCGAACTATTTCATTTCCCACCTCTTCTCAGAAGAGTGAGGGCTGTTCCCCCTTAGTGCATGGCCTAGTGCACTTCCTAGTATTTGGGGGGCACTCTAAGCAGTGATCTGACTTTGTGCCTGGGCAGGTGGAGTGTCATGGCATACGAGACCAAACCCCCTCGGCAGGCCTCCTCCTCCACCGTCACCGAGGACTTCAGTGAGGATTCTGAGGTATAGTGGCCCTCCTCACACCCACTACAGTGCCGAGGATGGATGCTGGGGCCTCGGGCTCTGCCCGTGCCGCACCCCTGCACGCTGCTCCTCCGATGATGCGTCTGTCAGCCCTGTAGGGGAGCAGGGCAAGCTGAGGCCAAGCTGGAGGCTTTGTGACTGGGGTTTCCCACAGCCGTCACAGGGCTGGAGGGCCTTCCAGCCCCCTCTGGTGACTTCCTGCTTCCCTGTCATCTGCTCAGCACCTCGCTCCACCTGCTGTCCCCTGCTGTGCTGTCCCCTCCCCTGCTGTCCCCTCCCCTGCTGTCCCCTCTCCTGCTGTCCCCTCCCCTGCTGTCCCCTCCCCTGCTGTCCCCTCTGCTTGCTGTCCCCTCCCCTGCTGTCCCCTCCCCTGCTGTCCTCTCCACCTGCTGTCCCCTCCCCTGCTGTCCCCTCCCCTGCTGTCCCCTCCCCTGCTGTCCCCTCCGCCTGCTGTCCCCTCCCCTGCTGTCCCCTCCCCTGCTGTCCTCTCCACCTGCTGTCCCCTCCCCTGCTGTCCCCTCCCCTGCTGTCTCCTCCCCTGCTGTCCCCTCCCCTGCTGTCCCCTCCCCTGCCGCCCCCTCCCCTGCCGTCCCCTCCCCTGCCGTCCCCTCCCCTGCTGTCCCCAGCTGTGCTGACTCCGGCCTGCTATTACTGTCCACATCTGGAATAGCGGACCCCTTGCCGCCTCCTGCAGCCCCCACACTCCTGCTCCTGGCCTGCCTTTCCTCTTAGCCTCTCTTTCATTCAACCTCCTGTGCTTTAGCATGGAATTCTTGTCCTTGAGGGAGGGCACTGTCGTGATTCAGCTCCGTTTCCTCAGGGCATAGAATGACCTGAGCACACTGCTGTGCTTGTCCCATCTGGCCGCTAGCTGAGCATGATGACTGCCAGGGTGCTCTTCCAGGCGGTAGAGAGACAGAGCTTTATCGGACCAGGGCAGTGGTTGGCCTTGAACAAGGCTGCAGGCCCAAGTGCCTGCCTTGGCATGGTTAGTGAGCTGTGAGTGTTTTGTACGTTTTTCTTCTTGGAGAGGAAGAGTATATGTGCTCACTGGCCAGCCCGTGCTGAAGCCTGTAGCCCAGGCCCAGGGCCGGGCCCCAGCAAGCAGTCACCACAGAGCAGGCTTCCACATCGGGGGGCGGCAGGGGGAGGGGGGCAACGGGGAGAAGCAGACGAGATGAGTTACACTGGGTGAGAAGATTCACAGCCAGACCAATAGTGTGGTGTCTGCTCTGAATGGAGCCCAAACAAAGAAGACACCCCACACCTGACAGAGGAGGGAATGGGGGCAGGCAAGCCCCCCGGCCGGTGTCATGTCTGAACGGGCAGTTGCTCTCTGTTCCGACAGGTTTCCTTTCATTCACACCTATCTCCTCAGTCTGCCTCCGTTTGACAAAGCTTTTGAACTCTTCCCTATGGCCCCGGTCAATGCGCTTCACGCTGGCAGTGAGTGAGGCCTTGGCTGGTAGGACAGGGGCGGGGGGGGGGGGTCCAGGTAGTCTGTGGGACCCAGGGCCACTGCTGCAGCTAAGGTGATCATCGCAGAGACTGACAGCACGCCTGACTCGGGGTGATTGTAGGTGCAGCAGATTCTCTTCTATGAAGATTCCGTGGCCGCCCATCTTTCTAAAATCCTCACTTCGGACCAGCACTCGGTGGTGATCTCATCAGCCAAGTGAGTCCTGGGCTGTGGGAGCTCAGGGTGGCAGCCAGCCAGGCGCCGGGACCCAGCCCCGCTGTCTGTGTGCCCCAGGGTGCTCTGTGAGACCGTGAAGGACTTCGTGGCCCGGGTGGGCAAGGCCTATGAGAAGACGACCGAGAGCTCCAGGGAGTCAGAGGTCATGGCCAAGAAGGTTCGTTCCTGGCACCGGGTGGGGGTGGGGGCCGCACTGATGTGAGGGAGCATGCTTCCCATGCATTTTGTCCCTCATCTAGTGCTCTGTCCTGAAAGAGAAGCTGGACTCTCTGCTCAAGACCTTGGATGACGAGTCCCAGGCCTCTTCTTCCCTGTCCAACCCGCCTCCCACCATTGCCGAGGAAGCGGAAGATGGGGACGGGCCTGGTGGCATCTGCGGCCCCGCTGGGGACCACCCTGTGGGCTCCATGTGCCCCTCCCGGCCGCAGATCTTCAGGCCTCGGGAGCAGCTCATGCTGAGAGCAAACAGCCTGAAGAAAGCAATTCGGCAGATCATCGAACACACCGAGAAAGGTAATGGACCCTTAGTAGCCAGGTAGCTTACTTTAGGCACAGGCTGGGCGTTCCCCAAACACGGTGGCAGACCGAAAGGGACCGTGGAGCAGCCACTCTGATGCTTCTCCACCTCACACAGCACCCCCCACTTCACAGCAAGCCCCTTGTCCTCACGGGGTCTCTCCTGCACTGTGCTTGGAAGCCAGTCTTTCCCAGGCCTCCCCACTGTCCACTTGCTTCTTGCCGCAGTGAGCCTGTCACAGTGCATGACGCCCAGGCCCTCTGCCCTCTTGCTGCCTTGTGGTGGGCCCTCTGGGTCCCTCTCCTCACCTCCCGGTCTCCCCACCCCCAGGCTCTCCCCAACCTGTAGGTATGAATGCCAGGTGTGCGGGAGGCCTGGGCAGAGGAGGGGTGGGGTTGGGTCTGAGTTGAGGAGGAGCCTGCTGGCGCCTAGACCCCACTGCGCAGGCTCAGTCACAGCTGTTCTCTCCTGACAGCTGTGGACGAGCAGAACGCCCAGACCCAGGAGCAGCAGGGCTTTGTCCTGGGCTTGTCCGAGTCAGATGAGAAGAAGGACTTGAAGAAGGACGAGAGGGTGTGCCTGCCGCCTGCCCACAGTGAGAGCTGTGCAGTAGCCAAGGGCAGGAGCCACCGCAAAGGTACGGCATGCTGTGGCAGGATCGTCCTGCGGGGAGGCTCGGCACACGGGCTGTGGGGCGTTAGGGCGTCGCTTTGAGTGCTTGGGCAAACCCAAACTCTGGGCCTGTGTGTGCACCACCAGCATGTGCCCATGTGTCCTGGGGGCACTGGCAGGGCTGCGGGGGCATGGAGAAGCCCCGCCTGCCTGCCTGGGCCCTCCCTGGATGGTCTCAGAGCCCCTGAGACCCATAGTTGCCCAGGTGGGGCTGTGTCGGGCAGGGGCAGGACCTGCCCTCCTGAAGCAGGCTCCCCCCGCTGGGGGTCCCTGAACTTGGCCGGGGTCCTGCCCCCACCTACTCACTTGGCTCCGGGATCTGAAGTGCACTGTCCTGTTTTACAGTGTCCAGATCCCCGTGCGAGAAGCTGATGAGCAAAGGCAGTCTGTCCCTCGGCAGCTCTGCCTCTCTCCCTCCCCACACAGGAAGCCGGGACAGCTTTCCCGCGCTCAACACCAAGATCCTCTACCCAAGTGAGTGTGCTGGCCTCCGTGTCCTGCGGGGTGGGGTGGGGTGGGGCTTCGTGCGGCCGGCACGGCTAGGGGCTCGCTCTGTCAGGTCAGTGAGACAGCGTCTCCGTCCTCGGAGGAGGAGAGACCCAAGGAAGCCGGAACTTCCAAGTCTATACGACTGAATGAAGCGTTTTTCTAACCAAAAGGCAAGTAGAGCCCGTATGATGTTCAAGCGAGCTGGGAATCCATGTTTTAGGTGTCTTGTGGGTGAGCGTTTCTACCTGTTTCTGTCCTTAAATATGGAGTGATCATGGTAATTTTTTAACTTTTTTTTTTCCTGTACCAGTCTTGGGCCTTGAAGTTGGCCTGTGTGCTGTGCTGTCTCTGAGCTTTTTTGCTCAAGACTAATGCTCTACCACTTTGAGCCACACTTCCCTTCTGGCTTTTTGGTGATTTATTGGAGATCAGAGTCTTACGGATTTCCTTGCTCGGCCTGGCTTTGAACCGGCTCCCTGAGTAGCTAGGATTACAGGTGTGAGACACTGGTGCCAGACTGATTTGTGAACTGTTGTCAAAGTGTGGCACTTCCTTGTTACTTCAGGAACTTTGGGTGACAGCAGTTTGCCGTCCTCCTCCAGTCCCCATACATGCCCATCCTTCCTCCCGCAGGCGTGCGGGCCGGGATGTCAGACTCCTTACCCGGGAGCTCAGTCATCAGCCGCTTGCTGATCAACGCTGACCCCTTCAGTGCTGAACCCGAGAACCTGTGAGTATGAGGCCTTTGGCTGAGCGCAGAGGCTCGAGCGGCATCATCAGGACTTGGTGGACGTTGGCCAGCGAGCCCTGTGCTGGCCGGTGCTGGCTTGTGAGGGACCCCCTGCTTGAGGAGGGAGCCCGACCCTCAGTAGGCGTGCTGCGTCCCCCCGGGCGCCTCACTTTGAGGCTGAGGGCCCCAGACTCCCGCCGCGTGCCCCCCGGGCGCCTCACTTTGAGGCTCTGAGGGCCCCAGACTCCCGCCGCGTCCCCCCAGGCGCCTCACTTTGAGGCTCTGAAGGCCCCAGACTCCCGCTGGAAGCCGACTGGGTGTCCTTTGTTGTCACCTCAGGCGTCGTGCTCTGGCTCCCCTCATCCCATTCTGTCCTTCGCGTCTTCCTCATGTCTCACGGGGCCCACCACCCTGTCCTCCATGCAGTCCCCAGGGGGACACAGGGAGGGGGCCTGGCGCCTGCCGTGCTCTGTGCGCTGCATTTGCGCCTGTGGGGCTCAGTCTTCTTCCTGGCCTGGCTCAAGTGCAGCAGTTTAATGGAGCCTTCTTGTCCATTGGAGACCATTGAACACAGACAGTATTTTTCTTTCCTTTTCTTTTTTTTTTTTTGGGTCCAGTTGTGGGGCCTGAACTCTGGGCCTGGGCGCTGTCCCTCAGCTCTTCAGCTCAAGGCTAGTGCTCTACCACTTGAGCCACAGCGCCACTTCCAGCTTTTTCTGCTTATGTGGTGCTGAGGAATCGAACCCAGGGCTCCATGCATGCAAGGCAAGCGCTCTACCACTGAGCCACCTACCTAGCCCCACAGACTGTATTTTTCAAACCAAAGAAATGTCAAGTCTTTCGGATTTTTCTTTCTCCTGGCTGAAGGCAGGTTGTAGGCAGCATGGGGTGCTGGTGTTGCCAAGCCTGAGTGTCCGGTGTGGTGGGGCCAGTGATGGGTGATGGTGGTTCATGAAGGTTTTGAGAAGGTAGCACTCCAGGGTCCGCGGGTGGCGGCCGGCCCATGTGGCTCCCAATTCCTGCGTCTTGTTCTTCCTTGGCATCCTGTTCCTTCTGGGTTCTGTCCTCCCCGGGTAGCCAGAGCTGCCATCCCTGCCGGAGCAGAGCCCACAGACCCCTGACAGATTCTTACTCTGTCTTCCTCATCCAGGACCACTGAGGCCCCCTGTGGGGCCAAGCCTGTTCTCTCCTTCCCTGTCCCTACCCTGTGTGCCAGCCGCCTGGCGGGGTCACCACTGCGCTGCCCGGGCAGGCCTTTGCCTGTCAGCCCTGCGCGGCAGCTGCCAGCCCCCTCAGACTCCCGTCTCCCTCCTCCCTTGTCCTGCTACCCTTTGCCCTGGGTTAACTCCTTCTTCCTAGGACTTACCTATAGTGTTGGCCACATGGTCTTCAGCTTAGAACAGCTTTGTCCCTGAGCTCTGCTCTAGGTCAGCTGCTGGGCACTTGCATTAAATGTATCAGAATTCCAAGCAGTGTTCCCCATCCAGCTTCATTTCCTGTTGATGTCTATGGGGACTTCCGCGTCACCCACTAGCTACCTGTGGAGGGCATCCTGGGGCAAGCGCTGTGGCTGTGGCAGAGGCCTGGCCCTACCAAGGGGTGGGAGATCAAGAATGCGTGCAGAGCCCTCCCTCCCAGACCGGGAGCCATACTGCCTTGTCCCCGGAAAGAGGACTGTGCCCCCAGGGCCAGGTAGACATTTTTGGGCCACTTTGGGTTTTGATTAGGAATGGCTCTGAGACCTGGAGTTCAGCGGGGTAGGTATATATGCCCTGAGACCTTGGTTCGAGGCTGCAGGCAGAGCCTCAGCAGGGCGGACCAGTGTCACCGCCAGGTGTAGCCCAGAGGACCGAAAATGTGTCCACAGTAACAGTTGTGCACAGATATCCAAATGTCCATCACATAGTCTAGCTTTCCAGCATGCCATCACGATAGAAATGAACTCTGAAAGCGTCGTGCTGAGGGAAGCAGCAGTGCGGAAGGCGATGTGTGATGGCCTCTGTGGCCTGCACAGGACAGGCACAGGCCTGGAGATAGCCGGCGTGGATGTCCAGGGCTGGGGTCACAGGGCTGCCGGTGCTGGGCACCGTGGGCTCACACCTGAAATCCTAGCTACTCAGCAGGCTGAGATTCGAAGGATCACCGTTTGAAGTCAGCCCGGCAGGGAATTCTGTGAGACTCTTACCTCAAATTAACCACTGGAAAGCCAGAAGTGGAGCCGTGGCTCAAGTGGTCGAGCACTAACTAGCCTTGAGCAAAAAACCTTAGAGACAGTGCCCAGGCCCAGAGTTCAAGCCCCACGGTTGGCCCCAAAAAAGAGAGAAAAAAGGCTGCTAGTGTCTAGGAGGCCCTGGGCTGACAGGTGTGGATTTTCTTTCTGAGGTGGTGTGTTCTAAAACTGGTTGTAGAGCTGATGTGACTGTGAATATATTAAGCATCGTGGAATTACATACTTTAAATTGGTTATGATGTGCTATATGAGTAATTTTAGCTGTTACCAGAATCCCCCAAGAGACAAAAATAAAAATGTAAGTAAAAAAGCAGCTTAGGGCCCTGGGTTCAAGTCTCTGCATGTCGGGGGAGGCAAGAGAAAAATATGGGGGAAAAGTTTCAGTTACTCTACGGGCAGAAATGGCACAAGGCCTCCGTAGGCCGCGGTAACAGCTGTGCCCTCGCGCTGCAGAGAGTGCTACACGGAGAAGTGCGTCATGAACAACTACTTCGGCATCGGCCTGGACGCCAAGATATCCCTGGACTTCAACAACAAGCGCGATGAGCACCCAGAGAAATGCAGGTGGGTGTGGCCCAGGGGCGCGGGCCCTTCGTGTGCCCTCCGTGTGCCCTTTGTGTACGCATGGCCTCCCACCAAGGAAGCAGGGGATCTCCAGATAGCAGAACACACACAGCCGTTACTCTGCTGTCAGAGCAGAGGGGCTCCCAGAGATGGGGGCAGCTTGGAAGAGGGCTCCCCCCGGTGGCTGCTCAAGTTGGGCTGAATTGACATCAGGAGACCTCAGAGTTGGTACTGGCACGGGGCTGACGCAGCCCCCCAGGAGTCCCCACTGGCCTCCCCGCGCTTCTGTCAGTACGTGTGTCACCTCTGAAGATTCGTTTCTCCTGCTTTTTCTGCATTTTCTAAAGTTTTGATGGTAAGCATAAGTCTAGAGCCAGAAGAAAGTCACAACATATACAATTTTTCTGAGGCTTATTTATTTGCCTTTCAGGAAATTTTTCTGCATTCTTGGCAAAATGTCACTTTTTAGCATCGTTCTGTACTCTAGGCGTATCCATATCTGCAAAATCAAGACTGTCGCGTCTTCCTGCAGCAGTGCCAGTGCTCCCTGCTTCCACAGTGCTCCTCCCTGCAAGGGCCCCACCGCCAAGCTCTGTGTGTTTTCTAGGAGTCGGACCAAGAACATGATGTGGTATGGAGTCCTGGGCACCAAAGAGCTGCTCCACAGGACCTACAAGAACCTGGAGCAGAAGGTCCTGCTGGAGGTGAGCCTGCCTCAGTGCCCTCAGATTCCTCGCTGCCCTCAGCTGCAGTGCAGTTGAGCTCCTGCCTGGGAGCAGCCATGCTGCGAGTGCTCCCTGCCGGGCGCGGCGCGGTCCTCACAGAAGGCTGACTCACCTGAGCAGTGTTCTCTCTTTGTGCACTTGTGCCCGCAGTGCGATGGGCGGCCGATCCCCCTCCCCAGTCTTCAGGGAATTGCTGTCCTCAACATTCCCAGCTATGCTGGTGGGACCAACTTCTGGGGGGGCACCAAGGAGGATGATGTACGTACGGGTGCGCGGTCGGTGGGCTGGGCGTGGCGAGCCTGCGGCGGGCTCTCTCACCACCTAATTAGTGGCCTGAGCACCTGCCATGTTCTGGCAGTGGGTGTCGTGGAGGGCTGGACAGACGGCCTCCAGCCCGGCCATGCACTGTCGAGATGGCAGCGAGGGGCATGCTGGGCCGGAAGGAGGACTTAACTTTGGCCAAGCCACAGGGGCATTGGGGAGGGAAGAGAAGGGACAGCATGAGGCTCAGAGGGCAAGGTGCAAGGTGGGGCGGGGGCCTGGGGGCTGTGAGGAAGGCTCGGGAGAGAGTATGTGCAGGGAAAGCAGAGCAGAGTCAGAGTCAGGACTTGTACATAATGACTCAGGAACTGCGGTGCCTCCGCATGCAGGCCGCTGTTCCGAGCATTGTGCGACACGCTGCTTGTCCAGTCCCCATAGCAGCCCCTGGAGGGGCCTGCTGGGACTGCTCCTGTGCATGGGGAGACTGAGGGGGGGGACGGGGCCCCTCCCACATGTGAGGAGGGGGAGCGTGCTGGGCCGCTCCTACACATGAGGAAACGGAGGCAGGGGGAGAGGAGACTAGCCGGGCTGCCTGCTCGTCAGTGGCTGGTGTGGGCTCTGGCCCCAGGTCTGTGAGAGACACAGATGACGTCATCACAGCAGGCACCGTCTGCGTGCTGCCCAGAGCGGGAAGCAGTGTGTGTGTGTGTGTGTGTGTGTGTGTTCGGGGGTGGGGAAGGGGCGGGGAGGGGTGTGTGGAAAGGAGGGCAGAGTTCAGCTCTAACGCGGGTCCTTTCAGACTTTCACGGCTCCGTCATTCGATGATAAGATTCTGGAGGTGGTCGCTGTGTTTGGCAGCATGCAGATGGCTGTGTCTCGTGTTATTAAGCTGCAGCATCACCGAATTGCCCAGGTATGGGGCGACAGTCCCAGGGGTCACCTGATCCCCTCCTGGAGCCCACACCTCTCAAGAGGAAGGGCTTGGCCTAGAACTCCCTGGTGTGCTCCCCTTCCTGGGATCTGGAGCCAGCCTCTGCGTCTGGCACAGGATAGGCCCAGCTTTCCCCCGGACGGGACCCTGCTGTGCACAGTCTTTGAGTTCATTTCTCAGAAAGACCGCTTCGGCGCTTAGATGCACCCGAGCCCTCTGTGTCTGGACGAGGAGGAGGAGACACGGGCCAAAGGGGAGACGGTGTGGGGCCTGGGGGCCTGGAAACTCTGCCTGCCTCACCGCTGAGGGTGGGGCTGTGCGTGCGGGCTGCGTGCTGATAACCCGCTGGCTGAGCCGTGCTGCATGCTGGTCTCTTCCCCCTGCCAGACTAGAAGCAAGCAAGCCACTCAGAGCTTGTCTTTTGTTTTAGAAACACTTTTGTTGATGAGAACAGAGCTTCATTGTCCTCTTGTTGGACTTTGCTTGGAGATGTTTGCACTGGGCAGAGGCTGGTCCCCTTCCCTGCCCGGTTTGGGCTCTGATGCCCACATCTGCCATCGAGGCCTCCTGTACCAGCTGAGTCTGGATGCCTGAGGAGGGGGCAGTGGGGTAGTGGGGCAGTGTTGGGTGGTAGGGCGGGGCACAGGTGTGGCAGCAGGAAGACCTGATGCTGTTTTCAAGCCCCTGGAGCTTGTGGCTTAGGCCCCAGGTGACAGCTGTGATGTTTGCGCAGTGTCGCACCGTGAAGATCTCCATCCTGGGGGACGAGGGCGTGCCTGTGCAGGTGGATGGAGAGGCCTGGGTCCAGCCGCCAGGCTACATCCGAATCATCCACAAGAACCGGGCACAGACGCTGACCAGAGACAGGGTAAGAACGGCCGTCTCAAGCCAGCTACTCAGGAGGGTGAGATCCGAGGATTATAGTTCAAAGCCAGCCTGGGCAGGCAAGTTCATGCACCATTCTACAATTCACTATTAAGTCCTGTGAGACTCTGACTCTCATCTCCATTTAACCACTAGGAAAGCAGAAGTGGGGTTGTGGCTCAAAGTGGTAGAATGCTAGCCTTGAGTGAAAAAGCTCAGAGGCAGCTCCCAGACCATGGGTTCCAGTCCCACGACCAACCCCCCCCCCCCAAAAAAAAAAAAGAATTGGCTGCCTAGATGGGTGCCAATGGTTCAGGCCTGTCACCCCAGCTACTCAGAAGGCTGAGATCTGAGGATAGTGGCTCAAAGCCAGGAAAGTCCATGAACCAATCTACAACAACCAAGTGGAAGTGGAGGTATGGCTCAAGTGGTAGAACGCCAGGCCTTGAGTTCAAGTGGCAGGACAGGCAGGAGAAAAATCTGATGGGGTTTGGAGCAAGGGCTGGCTCACCTCTGGCTTATCCACGGCTGGCCCGTGCATTCTTCCCAAAGGTGTTTGCATGCTTCATGGTTTGGTCTGGGAGTTTTCTTTCAGGTCTGAAGGGGAAGTGCCAGGGCAGGAAGCGTAGCGCTGCGCTCAGCCCCCGCCCCGCCTCCCCACAGTGAGGGCTCTGGTGTCATGGCTGCCCTGCACCCCTGGCTTAATTCTGGGTTCTCGGGTCCTAGGCCTTTGAGAACACCCTGAAGTCCTGGGAGGACAAGCAGAAGTGTGAGCTGCCCCGCCCGCCATCTTTCTCGCTGCATCCCGAGATCCTGTCTGAGGAGGAGGCCACACAGATGGACCAGTTCGGGCAGGCGGCCGGGGTCCTCATCCACAGGTGCCTCTGCTTGCCCCGGCCCTGCTTTGTTTCTCTAGTGGTGCCTCAAACCCACAGGTGCTTTCAGAGCCACTCACAGACTGTGAGGCCCATTGTGGGCCTCAGCTGGAGCCCGGCGGGAGAGCACCTGACTAGCTCGCTCACAGCCAGGGAGCCCTGCGGGAGAGCACCTGCGCACCTGACTAGCTCGCTCACAGCCAGGGAGCCCCAGCCAGGGTCTCCCCTCTGCAGTTAGTTGGGCATGGCGGCAACTGCCTGCAAGGCCAGCTCTCACAAGGGCCATGCGTGTGAGGCCTGCCTGTGACACAACGAGCCCCGTGAGTGTGAGAACTGCCTGTGACACACGAGCCCCGTGAGTGTGAGAACTGCCTGTGACACAACGAGGGCCATGAGTGTGAGAACTGCCTGTGACACACGAGCCCCGTGAGTGTGAGAACTGCCTGTGACACACGAGCCCCGTGAGTGTGAGAACTGCCTGTGACACACGAGGGCCGCGTGAGTGAGAACTGCCTGTGACACACGAGGACCGTGAGTGTGAGAACTGCCTGTGACACACGAGCCCCGTGAGTGTGAGAACTGCCTGTGATACACGAGCCCCGTGAGTGTGAGAACTGCCTGTGACACACGAGCCCCGTGAGTGTGAGAACTGCCTGTGACACGCGAGCCCCGTGAGTGTGAGAACTGCCTGTGACACACGAGGACCTGTCTGTCAATCACAGCTCACCCTGGTTTCCGAGCTGCGTCTGTTCTGCCCTCTTCCCTTCCCCCCAGAGCGCCGCCTGCACTGGGCGCCGCTGCGCGCGCTCCCAGGGCCTTCTCCCTAGCTGTGTGCACGTGCTCCTGCAGCTTCCGTGGCCCTCGTGGCCGCCCCGCGCCACTCGCACTCCCCCGAGGCTCTCTGCTCTCTGGCGGCCCGGCCTTTCCACCCCAGCCTCCCCTTCTTGAGGCCGCACAGCAGCCAGTGCGGTTGGCTGGCCCCAGCTTCTCTTAGCCTTTCTCCCTGCTCTTGCCTTGGGTTCGGGAGAAGGACCAGCAGCTCCAGCTGCCCTTCCTTGGCAGGTCTGCCTCGCCCTGGCAAGTAGTGACCTTGCTGGGCCGGGGTTCCCACAGCCTGCCTCCCGTCAGTCCCCGTGACCATTTCTGGCACATACAGGTCACGTGTCGGGCTCCACACATCCTTTCCTCAGCCACTGGCCTGCTGTGGCTCATGCCTCGCAGCCGGAGTCAGGCGTGGGGCGACGTGTGGACGTTCCTTGCTGTGCACTGGTTTCTCACCTTGTCCCCTCCAGGCTGCGGTGGCCTGGGGAGCCTGCTTGCAAGATAGGCTTGCTCCAGCCCAGCCTGGCCACGGGTGGGGCAAGTCTCAGCACCTCTCAGCCGCACCCCAGCTCCCCCAGCCAGCTCCTGCCTGCCTCCACAGCTG